AGGCCGCCCAATGGACTAGGTCCATGGGCTTCTTTAGTACTAGGCTTTCAAAAGAGGCCTGCTACACAAGCAGGCTAGCTCATGTCCGGCTTTCTTGCACAATTCACGTTGAAAACTTGTTAGGGTTTTTTCTATTCTGCGATGGATGCTTCGAGGCTTCTCAAGGAGAAGAAGTTCTGGATTGCTTCCTTCATAGTTGTTTGGGCTGCAGCTCTTCAGGTCTTCGTGTGTAATGATGATTATTCTCGTTCGAAATCTTTCTGTTTCCTTACCCCAAAACATTTGTGTTCAGTTTCTTCTTCTTTCGCAGGGCCATATGATGTGGATGCAGAAGCAAGATGCTTTCAAACATAAATTTGGTGATCTGAGCGGAAACAAAGAGGAGGAGGATTTGAGCGCTTCCTAATCGGAGGTGATTGCCCTTGAAACTTGAAAAAGAATCGATCTTGTAAAGGGAAAGGGTGCAATCTTTTTTTAATTCTGCTGGCGGATTTAGTTCTCTCTATCGAAGTTTCTGAAGTTGGTACATTATAAATGTGATTATTTTTTATATTTATATTTCGCAAGTTGGATTATAAGATCAACAAGAACAAAAATATTCGGTTCTGATAATAAATTGATGAACTGCAACCATGGGTACCTGAAAATTAAAGGATTTTTATTAGGGGTGATTTAAATATTCATATTGGTTCTAATAGGATGAGGTATCTGATGATTCATGATGGCCATGAAATATAAGATTCTATGCAATGTGAGAAGCCATAAGTAATTTCATAGTATACTATAACCTTGTAATAACAAATGCATGCTTTATGACATGAGAAGAGTATTTGATAACCTGCCCAAACTAAGGCTTTGGTTGGGACAGCTTTTTTCCTGCTTCTTAAAACAGCTTTTTAGTACAAAAATTAAATTTTTTGTACTAGAAAGTTGCTTTAAAAGGAGTAAAAAAGTTTAGAAGCAGTAAAAAAACCATCCCAAACGAAGCGTAAGCCACTGAATCAGAATTAGACTTCATGTTATTTAGAAGGAAAGAAAAAAAAATGTAAGATTATAAAATGATTCTAGAAGATAGTTTGACCTCATAGTATAGAGTAGATGTTATGTATAAGAGCATAAAGAAAAGATCTATAGAAATAATTGCCATCAGAAATTTGAAAGGTGAATAGTTATTAACGTTTCAACATGTGCTTTTTAGAGATACAAATTAGAATTCTTCATTTGAGCTAAATTTGATGTGCAATAAGATGCCTAGTTTCATTAAAAAAAAAAAAAATACAAGTTTATTTAAAGTCTAGAAATAGTCCATATAGTTATAAGGATATTTGATAGCATAATGAACAAATACAAAGTTTTATTCATCAAAGATAAACAAACTATAACTCTTTTAAAATGTTGTGAGCAAATAAAAAGTTATGGTTGGTGTAATTTATCTAATAAGTTTGGTGTAGAAAAAGTGGAAATTTAGATAAATA